GACCATTTGCTTGGCCTTAGCACAGGAGTCTTCAAACTTGGCCCTTTTATGACTTGTGGACTTCAACTCCCAGAATTCCCCAGCCAATATGGCTGGCTAGGGAATTCTGGGAGATGAAATCCACAAGTCTTAAAGTGGCCAAGTTTGAGGACCCCTGCATAAGACCATTTGCTTGGCCTTAGCACAGGAGTCTTCAAACGTGGCCCTTTTATGACTTGTGGACTTCAACTCCCAGAATTTCTCAGTCAGCGTGCCTGGCTGAGGAATTCTGGGAGTTGAAGTCCACAAGTCATAAAAGGGCCACGTTTGAAGACTCCCGGCTTAGCATGTCAGAGACTGCTGCCAATGACAACTCACCCAATACATCATCATGAAGCAGTGATGTTGTAGATTCCAACTTGTACTTCCCCTGAAATCTCTATAAAGATAGTCCTCAACTTACAACCATTCACTGAACGACTGTTCCAAGTTATAGTGGCACTGAAAAAAATGACTTAGGACCAATTCTTGCATTCTTGTAGTCGGGAGATCGAAACTTGGGCACTTGGCAACCAGCATTTACTACGGTTGAAAATGTGATTGCCATTTCTGACCTTCGCAATTGGCTTCCAACAAGCAAAGTCAAAGGGAGAAGGCAGATTCGCTTAACAATGATGTGATCCACTTAACGCCTAAACTGATTCACTAAACTAGTGTGTCAAAAAAAGGACGTAAAATCGGGCCCAGCTCATTTAACAACTGTTTTGCCTAGTAACATAAATTCTGGTCCCCACCACGGTCGTTAAGTTGAGGACTACTTGTAGTCAAACTTTCTGCATTTGTTATATAGGAGAATCTGGCCTGGGAAAGTCCACTCTCATCAACAGCCTTTTCTTGACTGATCTCTATAAGGACCGAGTGCTTCCAGATGCACAAGGTGAGAGCAGAGCTGATGATTTTGGGAAGATGGGCCTGGGGGGAGTAACCTGATTAGGAGACCTCGGGGTTGGTCCTGCTTTCCTCTTCTTCCTCTTCACAGCCAGGATCTCCCAGACTCTGGAAATTGTCAAGCATGCCGTAGATATTGAAGAACAAGGAGTGAAAGTCAAGCTGACAGTGATTGATACTCCAGGACTTGGCGATGCAATAGACAACACGGAGTGGTAAGAGGCACCTACAGAATAACTTTGGAGATCTTCTAGTCCACCCCCGGCTCAAGCAGGAGACCTATACCATTTCAAACAAGTGGCAGTCCAGTCTCTTCTTAAAAAAAAAAAAACTCTAGTGATGGAGCACCCACAACTTCTGGAGGCAAGCTGTTCCACTGGTTAATTGTCCTCACTGTTAAGAGGTTTCTTCTTAATTCCAGGTTGCCTCTCTCCTTGATTTGTTCCATCCATTTTTTGTTGTCCTGCCCTCTGGTGCTTTGGAAAATAAGTTGACCCCCTCTTCTTTGTGGCAGCCCCTCAATTACTGGAATACTGCTATTGTGACACTCCTAGTCCTTCTTTTCTCTAGACTAGCCATACCCAAATCCTGCAACCGTTCTCCGTGTGTTTTAATCTCTAGACCTTTAATCATCTTTGTTGCTCTTCTCTGCACACTTTCCAAAGTCTCAACATCTTTTTTATAATGTGGTGACCAAAACTGGATGCAGTATTCCAGGTGTGCTCTCATTAGGGTTTGTATAAAGCGGTATAAATCTTTATAAACCTCTGGGCACGCTTATGTCTTAATTCTGTGATGGAAAACCCTATTACACCTATTCACAAAAAAAAAGTGCGCACAGAATCCTGATTGGAAAGAGCCTTTTTGCATGAGATTGCAGTAAACAGATTTAGAGATGACTTTGGGAGAGGTATGAAAAAAAAACATTAAGGAGAGACTGGTACACAAGATTATAGCTAGTCCTTAATTTATAACCAGAGAATTGCCAGAATTACCAGAATTTCCATTGCTAAGGAAGAGGGTTGTTAAGCGAGGAAAGTTCAACTTTAAGAGGCAAGTTTAAGCGAGGCAAGTTTCCATTTTTTTTTGCCATGGTTGTTAAGTAAATCACAGCACAAGCATGCGGTCATTAAGCGAATCCAGCTTCCTCCATTAACTCTACTTGCTGATTGAGAAGGTTGCAAATGGTGATCACATGACCCTGGGATGCTGCAACTGTCGTAAATACAGGCTGATGGCCAAGGGGCCGAATTTTGATCACGTAACCATGGGGATGGTGGAATGGTCATAAGTGTGGGGACAGGTTGCAAGTCACTTTTTTCAGTGTTGTTGTAACCTTGAACAATCACTAAATCAATCGATGGAAGTCAATGGGTCCCTGTACACAGTTCAGAGACTGAAGCAAGGATGAGAAAGAAAATTAAAATAACTCCAATTTGATTTTGTTTCGTAGAAAACGTGAGGAAAAAGTTGGATAGAAACATTTCAGGTTCTACTGTTTTCTCATCTCCAGTGATACATTCCACAAATCCTTTTTTAAACATTTAAAAAAAAACCTGGCTTACCCCAAATTTATTTAATTTATTTGTATCCTGCCTTTATTATTTTTACAAATAACTCAGTGCGGCTGATACATCCAACACACATTCTTCCTCTTCCTATTTTCCCTGTAACAGCAACCGTATGAGGTGAGTTAAGAGAAAGACTTGACTGCCCCAAAGTCACCCAGCTGGATTTCTTGGCTAAGGCAGGATTAGAACTCACAATCTCCTGCTTTCTAGACTGGTGCTTAACCACTAGACCAGGGGTCTGCAGCCGTAAGAACTTAAAAGAATTGTGGACTTCAGCTCCCAGAATTCCTCAGCCAGCATAGCTGGCTGAGGAATTCTGGGAGCTGAAGTCCACAAGTCTTTAAGTTGTCAAAGTTGCAGACCCCTGCACTAGACTACACCAAACTGGCTTTCTTTCTTTCCCTTTTATCTTACAGCTGGAAACCAATTGCCAATTATATCGATGGTCAGTTTGAACAGTATTTTCGGGATGAGAGCGGCCTCGACCGCAAGAATATTCAGGATGGCCGTGTTCATTGCTGCCTCTACGTCCTCTCGCCTTTTGGACACGGGTACGATGCACACAAGTTTAGGAGTGAAGCAGAGTGAAAAGTAGGTGAGAGCCTTGCCCCTGGTCTCCTGGGAGGACCAGGTATCTCCAAAGGAACAGCAAGTATTAATTTAGTTCAACACCGACAAGGCAAGGTACTGTATATAAACAGGGAACGAACTCCACACTCACTAGCACTGATGATGTTACCTAGTAAGGTAATGAAACATCTGAAAGGAAACAACAAAGCTCTGAGAGCACCAAGCACTCCACAGCTTAACTTCAGATAGAACCTAACCCAGGATTTGAACCCACCATCCAGTACAATGTTTGTCCTGGCAAAAAGATAATAAAAATATTACCAAACACATTCAAAAGGCCTTGCATACCAACTATCCATCCTGACCTCAGGATGAGATTCTTATTTTATTTGAAATAAATAATAATTAGCTAGGCAGAACCAAACAGCTTGGCTGTTACCGGTAACATTTTCCAAGGACGGGCAAACCTCTGGCTCCTCCTCTTTTGCTACAGGCTCCGCCCCCTGGATATAGAATTCCTCCGAGCCATCCATGACAAAGTCAACATTCTGCCTGTGATTGGAAAAGCGGATTGCTTGACGCCGTCAGAGGTGCAGCACAAGAAAGAAAAGGTATCCACAAGGGAAAAAAAACTTGTAAATAAATCTTGCAGATTACAAGCAAATGCAGACCCCTTTCGCTTGTATTACAGGTACCGTTTCCCCGAAAGCAAGACCTGCCCCGAAAATAAACCCTAGCTTGATTTTTGGGGGGTAGGCCTAATATAAGCCCTACCCCAAAAGTAAGCTCTAGTTTTGGGGTGAGGCACAAATCTAAAAATCAAGCTAGAGTGGGGGTGTGGAGTTGCCCCACGCGCCCCGCACCCACTCACCTTGCAGCCAGGCCTTTCCTTGCCGGCCCACTTCTTCTGCGGCGTCTTCTGCAGCCAGGTCTGCATTTCTCAGTCACAGGCCTTTCCGGAAGGCCACTGCAGCCGAGAACCGAGCTATGGATTGAATCCATAGCTCAGTACTCGGCTGCATAGGCCTTTCTGGACCGCAAAATGCAGGCCGGCTGGGCGAGGCTGTCGGTGCCAAAGACACATCCTGAAAATAAGACCTGGTGCCTCTTTTGGAGGCAAAAAAATAATAATACCCGGTCTTATTTTCAGGGAAACACGGGTAGTCCTTGACTTATGACCACAGTTGGGACCAGAATCTCCATTGCTAAGCAAGGCAGTTGATAAGAGAGTTGTGTCCTATTTTATGATCTTTTTTTTGCCATGGATGTTAAGCAAATCACTGCAGTTGTTAAGTGAATCATGCGGTCATTAAGCAAATCCATTTTCCCCCATTGACTTTGCTTGCTGGCCGCCGGCTGAGAAGGTTGCAAATGGCAATCATATGACCCCGGGAGGCTGCAACTGTCATAAATGCGTACTGGTTGCCAAGCACCTGAATTTTGATCATGTGACCTTGGGGATGCTGGGACTTAGTGGAGATGCTAATTGTCAGGACCATCACAAGTTATCATTTTGGCTTCCTCCAGGATGATTTTTTTTTAAAAAAATGTCCTCATCAAGATTTCCTTGTGGTCTCCCATCCACTTCCTAGCCATGCCTGATTCTACCTGAAAGCACCGCATTAAACTCCCACCATCCCTTTCGTAGTTATATTTCAAGGCGCTTTTAAAATTACAGATTCGGCAGGAGTTAGAAGCCAACAGCATCTGCATTTACGAATTTCCTGACTGTGACTCCGATGAAGACGATGTGTTCAAAGCTCAGGATGCTGAGATGAAGGTGGGAGAATCGCAACCTACCTGGGGTGGGTTTCACGGGATGCTCTCTGGGATTAGATTACTATTTCTCAAGCTTGGCAACTTGAAGATGTGTGGACCTCAACTCCCAGAATTCCCCAGCCAGCCATGCTGGCTGGGGAATTCTGGGCGTTGAGGTCCACGCATCTTCAAGTTGCCAAAGTCTAACACTGGATTAGTTAAAGCAGTCAAGGATCTAATTAGCGTTCTCCCTGCAGAGAAGCATCCCTTTTGCTGTCGTTGGATCTAGCCACGTGGTCAGAGAGCTAAAGGGCAAAGTATTTCGGGGGAGACAGTATGCGTGGGGAACCGTGGAAGGTAAATCTTTTTTTTTTTTTTTTTTTTACAAATTTTATTAACTGTACATTTTAAAAACAAAAATGGACATGATTCAACTTCCCTGGCTTCAACAGTGCTATTAGTACTACCTTATGTTACTGAAAGAAAAACAGAAACTTAAAATACATTCTATAACACGGTGTTTCTCAACCTTGACAATTTTAAGGCATGTGGACTTCAACTCCCAGAATTCCACAGCCAGCAATGCTGGCTGTGGAATTCTGGGAGTTGAAGTCCACATACCTTAAAATTGTCAAGGTTGAGAAACACTGCATAACAGGACAGAGTGTAACAAACTGTGCGTATAACATCTGTAAGTTTTTTGATAAACCATCTTTCAATCATCGTTGTATTTACATATCTTTCAGTTGTGTCCTAATATAGGTACTAATAAGAAGTCCTTATGATATCAACTAGTCAGTCGATAATCATCTCAGCGATCCTCCTTATCTTTAACCAATCATACAAATTTTTCCAAATTTCATAATACTCTGTTTCAGTTTTATTTTTAATCTCTAGAGTTAACCTGTCCATTTCGGCTCAGGATAAAATTTTATTTATTATTTCTTCCTCAGTGGGGGTTTCCTTTCCTTTCCATTTTTGGGCGTATGCCAATCTTGCTGCGGTTAAAATATGCAATAGTAAGTAAAAAGATGCTTTGCTGAGTTTATCATTAATAATCCCTAATAAGAAGATTTCTGGTTTTAAATCAGTTTTTTGTAATAGTATTTCTTCCAGCCAATTTTTTATCCAATTCCAAAAAATTTGCGCCTTTGAACATTCCCACCACATGTGATAGTAAGTCCCTGGAAGCCTTCTACATTTCCAGCATGCTGGTGAGGTTTTTTTTATCTATTTTTGCTAGCCTTGTAGGGGGAAGGTGCCATCTATAAAACATAAATTTTCTTTGTAGGAGGTGGCTAGTGTTAACCTCCTCTGTTTCTGTCCCATAATGATTGCCAATTATTCTAGGTAAATACTGTAACCAAAATTTTTACTCCAGATTAACATTGTTTCTTTTGAAGGTAAAAATCTTTTTAAGATTTCTTAAAGAGCAACATGGGCAGCAGAGGGCGCTGTGCCAGGTGGTACATATACTAATTTGTTTTTTTTCCTCTTCCCCTAGTGGAGAACACCGCTCACTGCGACTTCCTTAAACTTAGGAACATGCTGATTCAAACTCACATGCAGGACTTGAAGGATGTGACCCAGGAGGTTCATTATGAAAATTACCGCGCACAGTACATTCAGAGTCTCACCAGACCCGGGGCTCGGGATCGCAGTAGCCGCGCGTAAGCCCGGTTTGGGACTTTGGAAAAATGGGAAGTTAGCTAAGAGAACTCCGATGAATCAAGTGACTGGCTGTGTTTGTATGGCATAACAGAAACAAAAAACCACCAGCAATTAGTTTGTAGGTAGCCCTTGACTTACCTCCAGAATGATGATGATGGTATAATAATAATAATAATAATAATAATAATAATAATAATAATAATAACAATAATAAACAACAATAACAACAACAACAACAATAACAATAACAACAACAACAACAACAATAATAATAATAATAATAATTGCCTTGGGTGCAATCCCAAAACAACTGGAGCACCACTTGAACACCATTGCTATTGACAAATTTGCCATTAGTCAATTGCAAAAAGCAGCCTTACTAGGAACGGCTTCCATCCTGCGACGATATCTGTAATACCATCAAACATCCACATCTGCCTATCCCAGGTCCTTGGGAAGGACTCGATAGGTAGACAGAAATGTCAAATCCAATCTGAACATCTGGCTGACTGTGCGATGATCAATAATACTAATACTAATAGTAGTAGTAGTAGTAATAATAATAATAATAATAATAATAATAATAATAATAATAATAATAATAATAATAATAAAAAGTTGGAAGGGACCTTGGAGGTCATCTAGTTCAACCCCCTGCTCAGGCAAGAAAGCCTATACCATTTTAGACAAATGGTTGTCCAGTCTCTTCTTAAAAACTTCCAGTGTTGGAGTATTCACAGCTTCTGGAGGAAGGTTGTTCCATTGGTTAATTGTTCTAACTGTCAAGAAGTTTCTCCTTAGTTCTAGGTTGCTTCTCTCCTTGATTAGTTTCCATCCGTTGCTTCTTGTCCTGCCTTCAGGCGCTTTGGAGAATAGCTTGACTCCCTCTTCTTTGTGGCAGCCCCTGAGATATTGGAACACTGCTATCATGTCCCCCCTCGTCCTTCTCTTCATTAAACCAGACATACCCAATTCCAGCAACCTTTCCTTATATGTTTTAGCCTACAGTCCCCTAATCATCTTTGTTGCTCTTCTCTGTACTCTTTCTAGAATCTCAGCATCTTTTTTACATCGTGGTGACCAAAACTGGATGCAGTATTCTACGTGTGGCCTTACCAAAGCATTGTAAAATGGTTTTAATACTTCACGTGACCTTGATTATCCATTCAGTCAAGTCCGACTCTTGGTAATGCTACGGGGCAGGTCTCTCCACAACTTCTGATCTTGTACTACTTCTTTGAGTACGACCAAAATAGGGACCAGAATTTCTGTTGCTATGCAAGGCAGTTGTTAAGTAAGACATGCAAAATTTTACGGCCTTTTTTGCCACACTTGTTAGGGCGAAACACTGCAGTTGTTAAGTCAAACATGCACCTGCGAGCAGATCCGGTTTCCCCCACTGATTTTGCTTGTCTCAAGCCAATTGGGAAGGTCACAAATGGTGATCACATGACCTCAGGACACTGCAACGGTCGTAAATACATCCTGGTTGCCAAGTGCCCAAATTTTGATCACGTGAGCCCATGCTGCAATGGTTGTAACCATGAGGACTAGCTGTAAGTCACTTTTTTCCAAAGCTACTGTTAACTTTGAACGGCTGTTAAAGGAATGGTTGTAAGTCAAGGATTACCTATAAACAAGCCAACTCATAAATCATGGTTTCTAAACCACAGGCTAGGTTTACACAATCTGTTACGCCAAAGCCAAACATACATGATGGCTTAGCGATTTATCTGAACTAGGCCAGGGTATGCCTTTCAGCTGACTTAATGGAGTATTCAGAATCAGTTGAAACAAGATTTTTCTAAAAAAAAAAATCCTTTGAAATTTTATTAATGAAGACACTGGCAGAAAAAAAAAATATAACAGAGGTAACACAGACTAGCTTCATTGCCAATCCGGTGTCTTTTTAAAAAAAATAAAGCTTGTTAACCCTCAGGATTGTAGATGAACTGTACGTAGATCCATATAGAAGACTGCTTGGATTATTAAAATGAAGTACAATCATTCTTAACTGAACTGTTGTATAAAACTTTATATACGTGTATAATATGTGTAAGAGGCCCAAAGATATATAATTTGCTGTGGTTTTGCTTTTCTTCTTTCCCCCCTTTTTCTAATCTTTCTTTTTCAGTTGAGCTTATTTAAATCAATGTTTTTCAAACTTGGCAACTTTTAAGACTTGTGGACTTTAACTCACAGCCAACGCTGGGTGGAAAATTCTGGGAGTTGAAGCCCATGCATCTTAAAAGTTGCCACCCATTTAAATAAAGCATAGATAAGCAAATCATCAGATACGTACATACCAAGAATGTGACCCGGTGAAATTTAAAACTCCTGTCTCGCTAGGAAACTGTCCCGCCAGAGTGCCACCGACCTGCCTGTCCTGCCGATGTCCGAGACAGAGAAGTTAATTCGCGAGAAGGACGAGGAGGTGAGTCACAAAGAGAAGCAGAACCGTTATGCAACCATCCTGCTATCATTTTCATGCAAGTGATGGGATTGATGGCAAAGGAGAATGATGGACTTCTGCAACTTTCCATCTCATATTTCCTGGTTGGTTTCCCTCTTAGTTGCAAGGGGTGGGGAATCCCTTGGCAATCTGTCAGCCTTGCGAAGTAGTCCAGACAAGAAACACACCCAGAAGTACTATCTCTACTTTATTCTAAGGTTACGTTGGCAGAATTTCAAAAGTCTGAAAGAACATCTCTCCCCCTTCGCCTTTACAGCCTAAGGAATTAGGGAGAGTCTTTTCTGAGATGTTTGCCATGCCCTAATTCTGAGCACGGCTCTGCCCCATGTCCCAAGGTCATTCCCACGTTGTTGTTGTTAGTTGCGAAGTCCTGTCCGACCCATCGCGACCCCATGGACGACGTTCCTCCAGGCCTTCCTGTCCTCTACCATCTTCTGGAGTCCATTTAAGCTCACGCCTACTGCTTCAGTGACTCCATCCAGCCACCTCATTCTCTGTTGTCCCCTTCTTCTATTGCCCTCAATCTTTCCCAGCATTAGGCTCTTCTCCAGTGAGTCCTTCCTTCTCATTAGGTGGCCAAAGTATTTGAGTTTCAACTTCAGGATCTGGCCTTCTAAAGAGCAGTCCTCTTCTAGGACTGACCAGTTTGAACGCCTTGCAGTCCAGGGGACTCGCAGGAGTCTTCTCCAGCACCATAGTTCAAAGGCCTCAATTCTTTGGCGCTCAGCCTTTCTTATGGTCCAACTTTCACAGCCATACATTGCAACTGGGAAAACCATGGCCTTGGTAAACTATGGTATTCCCACCTACCATTATGCAATCAGATGCAAAAGAGATCTCCCAGAGAAAAGATAAAGCGCTTTCTCCCATTTCCCTCAAAGAAGAAAAATATACCAATAAAAGAGAATATTTGTAGCTCAGATTTGAACTGTCTGCACTGTCCTTGATGCTCTCTGAGCTTGGTTGTTTTCTTGCAGAGATTTCATTACCCAAACTATGTAACATCATCAGCGCTAGTCAATGTAGACCAGTTGTGGCGAACCTATGGCATGGGTGCCAGAGGCGGCATTCAGAGCCCTCTCTGTGGGCACGCGCGCCGTTGCCCCAGTCCTAGGCCTTCAGCTGGGTTTTATAAAACCTTTTCGCTTTAGGCCTCCGCCGCCATGTGCAAAAAAAAAAAAAAAAAGGTTCAATCAGTCAATTTCAACTTCTCGCGGGGGAAAAAAAGATCTTGCAAAGTTGGAATTGATTGATTTAACTTTTTAGTCCCACCCCGTCTGCCATTACCACCGCAGCCACGCCCAGCCAATGGGCCATACCCACCCGGCACCCGACGATGCATAAGTGGGTTTTGGGTTGCAGTTTGGGCACTCAGTCTCTAAAAGGTTCGCCATCACTGGTGTAGACTTTGCTTCTGTTTATTTTTATATATTTCATGTTTCTAAACCACCCATCTCCTTCAGAGGGTCTCACTCGCTTATATGCTCACTAGCACTGATGATCCCAAAGGTGCTTTTTCAAGAGGCCACTGGAGTTTGCTTTTCCTTGAAGATGTTTCATTTCTCATCCAAGGAGCTTCTTCAGTTCTGACTGAATGGTAGGGAATGGAAGCATTTATATACTTTGCAGTCATCTGGTCGTTAGCACTCTTTCTGGGAGTCACTAGGGCTACTTGGAGGTTTATCTGTGCCCTTGGGGTCAACTGAATAGTGCAAATGGGTGTGGAACCTTTTCGGAACTGCTGAAAGGTCTGTGTTACACCTTTGAGACAACCATGAGGTGGATGACTGAGAATCTCCATAGACCAGTGATGGCAAACCTTTTAGAGACCGAGTGCCCAAACTACAACCCAAAACCCACTTATTTATCGCCGGGTGCCGGGTGGACATGGCCCACTGGGTTGGCGTGGCTGAGGTGGTCATGGTAGACTGGGTGTGGCCAAGGTGGGCGTGGTCACCTTGATGTTGCTCGTGGGGAGGGATGCCTGTGGGGGCCGGGCAGGGTTGGGGGAGATCCAGGGGGTCTCTGGCAGGTGGGACAGTGGGCAGGAGGCTCGTCCTGCAGGGTGAGGCGAGGCAGGGTGGGGGTGCCATTGTTGCAAGGCAAGGTGAGGCAGGGGCCAGGGCGACTGCTGCCTGACACCGTTGGGCCCCACACAGAGGCCAGCGAGCGCATGGGGGCTGACAGTGTCCATCAGCAGCCACAGCCTGCCGGCCCCTCGACCGGTGCACTCTCGGGCTCCACAGCCCACGACCAGCAGTTCAGAGAAGCCGCCTCTGAGCTGAACGGCCAGCCGACAGCTGAGGAGGCGATGCAGTGGGTCATGCCCGGGAAAAGGAAAGCATGCGAGGCCAGGAGGGATGGGACGGGAGGGGTGGGGGGAGGGAAACTAGCCATGCTGGGATGCATCCGGCCATGTGGGACCTCGGCGAGTTAGCAAGTGGCTGGTTGAAGAGGGACGGTTGCCATCTCTGGGGCACGGCGCATGTACCCACAGAGAGGGCTCTGAGTGCCGCCTCTGGCACGCATAGGTTCGCCACCACTGCCATAGACATTTAGCACTGATGATGTTACCTAGTTTGGTAATGAAACGTCTGCGAGGAAACAACCGAGCTCAAGAGAGCAGCAAAGACCTCACAAAAGACAAACGGATTCCATAATTGCCAACTACAGAGAGGGAAATGCAGATTCCTACCCTCTCAGTAAGGCTAGGTACAGGTTGAATGATTCAATTTGCCCAGAGCAATCCCATCAACTTCCCACCCCAGTCTGACAGCCCCAATCTCAACCCCTCTTGCCTAATAGTCTCGGGCGGAACGGTGAGCGCAAACTTCCATTTCTCCCTTGCTTTCTCCAGCTCCGTCGGATGCAGGAAATGTTACGGCAAATGCAGGAGCAGATGCTACACAGCAAGGGAGAACAATGCGACAGCTTGTGAAGGAGCCTCTTTTTCCAAGAGTCAAGAGGAATTCCCGAAGGAAGAAACCCCCTGG